CCTGTCCCTCCCTTTCAGGCTGTTAACTTTTAAACCACAACAACTTCTTAAACTATTTTTTACTTTTTATATTCTGTGCAGCTACAAAGAATCCATCACCTGCGTGGAGAAGATATAGTCTTCTGCTTCCTGAGTAACCACCTCTCAGTGCATCTCCTCAGGCTTTGCTTGACATCCTGATTCCTCAGGCTGTAGATGATGAGGCTGATCATGGGGGTGACTACTGTGTAAGACAGGGAAACAATTTTCTTCGTATTCAATGAGAGGCTGGACTTGGGTCGTAGATGAATGATGCCAGCTGTGCCATAGAAAAGAGTCACTACCACCAGGTGAGCTGCACAGGTGGAAAAGGCTCGCCTCTTGCCCGCAGCCGAGGGTATCTGAAGAACAGTATGGATGATGTGAAGGTAAGAGATGGCTATCAGAGAAAAGGGAATCATCACTATTAAGACAATAGCAATAAAAATCAGTAGTTCCAGCAGGGCTGTGTCTGTGCACACCAGCTTCAGCACAGGAGAAACATCACAAAAGAAATGATCGGCCGTGTTTCTCCCACAGAAGGACAGGGTAAATAACCATGTGGTGAAGCCCAGAGCCACAGGAACACCAGGCAGCCAAGACCCAACAGCCATCTTGAAGCAGCGACCCCTGTTCATCACGGTGGCATAATGCAACGGGTGGCATATTGCCACTTGTCAGTCATAAGCTGTTGCACCTAAGAGGAAACACAGGTGACAAAAAGAATAACACAGTTAAGCTGCAGGGCACAAGCTGTGAAGGACTTATTTTTTCTCTCCACCAGCAGAACCACAAGCATCTTGGGGACAGTGGTCAAGCTGTAGCAGATCTCTGTCAAGGCAAGATTCTTTAGGAAGTAGTACATGGGCGCGTGTAGGAGAGGGTTGATGGTTGTGATCATAACAATTAGAGAGTTCCCTATCAAGATGGCCAGGAACATGATGGAAATCATGCGAAAAATAGCACCTGCACTGTTCCTTGGAAGGCAAACCTCAAAAGTAAGAAGTGAGTAGTGACAGTTTGGTTTCCTGGCAAGGAAGTCCCATTCTAAAAGAGGAAAAAAAAAATACACCAGAAAAGCATTAGTAGCTTGGGACAGACTTGTGGCCTCAGAAATAGCTACAGTTGTGAGAAAAATGGGGTATAAAACATGAGGTGAAACCTGGACTGGATATTGCAGTGACCCCAGTGTAAAACATCTCAGCAGGGAACCTGTACAAGGTCACCTCTAACAGTCAAAGGCTGGGATTCACCTTCTCTAAATCAGGTGAAGAGAAGACGTTCATACACGTTTCAAATGACCGTTCTGTATTTATTTTATTACATAGAAAGAAATGGCTATTTCCAAAGAACAGCTCAGCTTAGCATAACGGTGCCATCTCAGATGAGACGGGAGAATTTGACTTTGGATGAGCTGGATGTCTCTCAGCTAACTTCAGCATCTAAATGCCTACAGACATCTACATCTAAATGTGAGCCAGTCATCTTAGAATCACTTTATATGTAATGGTGAGAAATAGACCACAAGACAGAAGCACAGTTTCTTTCCTTCTAAGGTGGATGCCCAAGGCAGGCACTGGCAGTATCACTAATAATGAAGTGAGTATACAAGGACCAAATTTTTGGATAGCTAGAGTTAGCTGAAATTCATTTAATTCTTGGTGCTCTAAGTTAGGTGATATGGAGATCCTGTGGCTTTCCACCTGCTGGTTTGGCTCAAGCAGAAGTGATTTACCTACCTTATTTTCATTGTTAACCCCGCAAAAGTACAATCCAAATGTAAACAAGTTTAAATTAATAAAAGTGTTTCTGTATTTGTGTTTGTTTCATCAAATCACACAAAATTCATATTCTGAGTTTTCATTTCCGATAAGCCATGGGGAGTGAAAAAGGGCTCAACATTTGCCCATGTGAAAGTGGTCGCCAGCATCTACACCTTGCTGCCATTTTCTGGGAATTTGTCGTCTCATCAGATCTGCTAAGAGAATTATTTTTCTGGGACACTCGTCTGCGACATAAGATTCATGTGCATGAGATAAGATACAGATATGTGTAACAAAAATTCCAAAATATTAATGAGAATTAAGCCGCTTCAACTTCCATGAATATAGCTTGACGTCACAAAGGCTTTCATTAAGAGATGAAGGAAGACTCTTGCTACCTACACAACAGTCACACTGTATCAATAAACAATAAAATAGCTTAGGACTTTGTAGTCTTTGGGTTTTCGGGATTTCTAAAAACGTCCTTTTCTTTTCCTTAGCAATGATGAAAGAGAAAGTGTGGAGATGAGAACGTATATTATAGAACGTATTAATATTCTGATTAATTTATTCAACATATTTATCCACAAAATAGGCAGCTACAGTTGCCAAAATTTTCTACAGAAAATAAAAATAAGCAAGTATACTTTCAGTATAATTAATATTTCTGCACCATACACTTCTCAAATAATAAAAATTGATGACGTCATGGAGGTTCCTATTTCTCTCAGAGGAGTAATTGAGATGTAAAAATCTGCATTGCCAGTGCCTAAAGGTAGGTGGGACAGATTCCTCTTGTATATTGCAATAGCAGCTCCAGGCTCCCATTGGAAATATAAGCCATGGAAACAGACCTATTTTTTTCTGTTTTGTCTTAGGAACCGACTACTAATGAGGAATAGAAATTTAAATATTACCTTATGTAACTAAAACTGGTAGAGTTTTCTCTCTCTCTTCAGTAGGGCCAGTAATTTGAATGGCAGAGAGGAAGAAAAATTATGAATAGAGAGATAAAAAGAAAGAAAAAAGTCCATTTCCTTTCCTCTGTAAGAGGTAGCGTGTCCTCCCTGATGCCAAAGGCTCCTACAGCCAATGGGTGGAGGTATCTGAATTTTCATCTGCTCCCAGTAGGATCAGGTCTCCAGAAAGCAACTTTCTGGTACGATGATGCAATGGTGTTACGAATATAGAGCGTATGCATTGCAATGTGATACCAACGTATTACATAGCCCTAAGTATGGCAAGCAATAATAACAGCTTATCTTATAGACCTGGTTTTTGTTGTTTGTTTGGTTAGGGTTTTTTTAAACTGTTTCTGTCCACTTTATTATTGAAATGGAAGATTTCTTTCGGTAGATGTCAGGTGGTCGTCTGAAACACTCTCCATGATGGCATGATAACATAGTGTAAGACCAAGGTGAAAAATTAGGTGATGTGAATTCAAGACTGAAGTATTAAACACTTGGTCAACTCCATAAATCTTAGGTTTGTATCTTGAAAAACTGAGAAAGACAAACCAAACAAGTGGAACAAGAAGAAAGCTGTTGTACCAGTGCTTCACAGCTGGGAAACATCACGGAGGAGCCATTAATATTCTCCTGTTGCAAAAGGTTTCAGACTTGAGCCCTGACTTCTTAGCTGTACACTGTGTATAACAGGATCTCATCCTGCTTCTGGTCTGCCAGTTACATGGCTTTCTCATTTGTGTGGATTCTATCATTCTCTCATTTGTGTGCATGGAGCTACCTTTAGCCCTGTGTGGTGGCCTGGGTTTGGCCAGCTGCCAGGCTTCCACCCAGCTGCTCTCTCACTCCCCCTCCT